TGGGAGTTTATCTGTGTACATGAATTTATGTACCTGTCTAATCTCCCCAGTCAGGTTGTCTTGAGGACAGAATTTCATTTAATTCGTGGATGCTCTGCAAGGAGTTTCCTTACGTACAAATCCTTCTTGACTGGATGATGCTGGAGCCTCTCTCTGCTTCTTTCTGTATTCTCCCACTTTACATCCCAGCTCTGCCGAACAGCTGACTGAGCTCTGCCCGTCGGTTCTCTTTTCCTGGATTGGCCTTTCCCGGCACGTCTCCTCGGCTAATTTCTTCTAAGTCTTCAGTTTGCATTTAAGATCTCGCTTCCTGATACTCTCCTCATATTCACATCTAATTTAACGACTCTTCGCTCTGTTCTCAGAAAATTACCTTCTGCTATTAAAGTTAGCATTTCACACACCTATTATTGCCTGTTTTCTTGTCTGTCTCCTTGAACAGAATTTCTTCTCTCTCTGAGATGAGAATCATAAGATTCATGGTCAGTGTTAAAAAATATTAGGAAGGCATATAAGAATTAGCATTCATAGAATGTAAGCACCATGGAAGTTGCAAATTTGTTTTGCGTGTCTGTATGTCTCTGGTGCTTGGAACCATGCCTGGCCCACAGTATATCTTCAATAAAATAGTTGTTGAATGAATCAATGAATAAAGGAATGAAAATATTATGTATTTTAAAAAGAAAACAATTGGTTACTAAGAAGTTGTATTATAAATAATGATTACAGCTGAATGAAAGTACTAAAAATTTAAATGATGACACAATGATAAATGAGAGTAAATAGAACTTAGTATTTGGAAGTAAAATAAAGAGCAGGAACAAAAAAAGGATGATTGCTTACTAGCGGCTGTTCTTAGACAAATAAACCCTTATTCTCTGGAAGTTTACCTTAGCATTTCAGCAGCTGACAATAATAAAAGGAGTAAGAGGTATGAAAAATTACATGTCATTTTACAATCACTTCCGTGCTTTGTCTGTTTGCTGCATTGTGATGGTTCAGATGGTTCCATTTGACCCCAACCTCTAGCTGTTCCAACCTCAGAACCAATATTTATTGCCACATATGGGCTGCGCATGGCAGCTGCAAAATCCAGATGCCAAGCTTTGGAATGTATTTTTACGGCGGCACCATCTGGGGCTCTGGCCAGCCTTCTTTATTGTCTCTTGAATGTTTACACTAATAGCTTTGCTGGGCTGTGGCACTACCTGTGGGACACGCTGAGGGTCAGGTCGTTTATGAGCTCATCTTGTCATTCTAGTTAGAATTTCCCTTTACATGTCTCTCACATGCTATCAACTTATTCCTTTTAATGTATCTACAATGCCTGAGGAAAGCCATAAAACAGGTGGTCATCGAGACTAGGAAAGAAAAGGACTGTTTTCACAGTGGTGGGTCCATGCTATTCATGGGTTCTCAACAGCTCATTTGTGAGTTTTGGGGGAAATCAGAATACTTTTTCAATTTATTGAATGTTATTTTGCTTATGTATCATTGTAAGAGAAGATATACATTATTATAGCTCTTAACCCAACTTACTGGAGTAGCGTCTTGATCTCTAAGGGAGGTGATAATACTCCACAGCACAAATGAACAGTATTTTAGTTCTTAGGGAAACTTTTAAAAATAGTTTATTTTCAGCCATCAATGAGCTGACTCATTTGAAGATTCACTTGCAACTTAGGATGGATAAAATGACTATTCGTGATCCTTAGAACCATGATTTAGGAAATTCCTCAAAGGTGATTCAAGTAGATTCACGGTTTTGAATTGTGAGAAACCCATCATTCTAAAGGAATGAATGAAACACAAAGATTCAGATCAAGTAATAATCTAGTGTATCATATCCAGAGAAGATAGTCGGCTCTGAGAGTTTAACTGATAAAGGAATGAATGAAACACAAAGATTCAGATCGAGTAATGATTTAGTGTATCATATCCAGAGAAGATAGTCGGCTCTGAGAGTTTAACTGACTTATCCAAGGTCACACAAGCCGTAGATTCAGAGTCAAAGTGAAGATGAAGTTTGTCCCATGATTTGATGACAGTAGGACTTGTCAGGAGAGTCAGTCCTGGTAATTGAGTCCCTGAAATGATGAAATGACCTAAATGATTGTGCAACGTTCCTATTTACTTTCACGGCCCTGACACTGTTCTGCCCCAGTGGGTAACCTCACCTTTCGGGGGTGGCTTTGGGGGTAGAGGCTGTGGAGCAGAACTGCAGTCAGACAAGGAACATGAAGGAAACTGCGTTTGTTTGACCTCCTTGAAACCTCCTCCTGGTAGCTGGGCTTCCTGGGATTGTCACAGAGAGGCTGCCAACTCAGAAGCAGTGACAAAATTAGGCACTCCCAGGCTCACGGTTCCTAATCAATCAGCCTGTCATGTATCTGAGGAGATATTTCAGGGTGAAGAGAGCGTATGAGAAAGCAATTTCCTTGGACTTCGGCCTCTGAGTTCTATGTCTGGGGTAGAAATGAGGTGCTTAGTGTTAAATAAAGCCGAGCAGGGAGACAGTGAGGTGAGTCTCATGCATGCCTGGACCCAAATGGCAAATGTGTGCTTGGGGAAGCCACAGGAGGCTCCCAGAAGCAGCCGGAAGGTTCTGCAGCCACTTAAGAAAACAGCCACAATTAGGTCCAAGGGAAGGGTGATACTCTCTCCAAAGACACTGTAAATAGGAAAGCGCTGTTAAAGCTTTTCTGTAGGCTGAGGATAGACCTTTTAAAATGATATTTAGTTTCGGGAAAAAAGAAGACATATTGCTATAATGTGTTGTCAGTTCTCTACGGAAATGACATAAAAAGGAGATTTTATTGTGGCTTAATCCTTTGTTCTGGAGAACCTGTGCTTTTATATACAGTATATATTTTAATGAAAACCATGACAAGATCACTATTCATAAATCAACAGTGAAATGCTAAGAGACATATATGCTTACAGCTGCATGCATGTGTGTAGGAGGTCAGGGGGTACATGTATTTTTTCAGGTGGGTTCATTACCACAATTGGAAGCAAATCAGTACAACTATGGCAAAACCCCCTTGCGTTGTTGCCAAAGGATTTCTGATTTCATCTTTTTTTTTTTTTGTAAGACAGGGTCTTGCTGTCACTCAGGCTGGAGTTCAGTGGCATATCATACCTGACTGCAGCCTCAAACCCCTGGGCTCAAGCAATCTTCCCACCTTGGCCTCCCAAAACGTTGGGATTACAGGCATGAGCCACCACACCTGGCTTGATTTCGTTCTTTGTGTGAATGAGATAGGAGAAAGCTTTTAGCACTCTGAAATATCCTTAAATTGATTGATGTATTCTCAAACTCTGAAAAATAGTGGCTTAAAGTTGCCTGCCGCATAGTTTTTGCCACTTCAAAGTTGTACATTCCATTCCTGGTTGGAAAATAAATACTTCACAAAACTATTATAGTTGGACACAAATATATCAACAACTCCATCATTTCATACAATAGCTGGAGGATATCTTTGAGATGAAGGTCAAGCAAACATTCGCAAGTAAAGCCATAGGTTATATGTGGTGGATAATGTCCAGTGATTGGAAACACATCAGAGGAGCTACTACTTCGTCCTTGTTTGGAAATCTGTTTTGCAGATTGAAAAATGACAACGTTGTGATGCATAAATTACTAGAGACTTACACGGAATAAAGAAAGTAAGTAGTAAGTTAAATGATCAATTGGAACCCAGTTTTTATTGCATGAAGGACTCACAAGTGGGTACTTGTGCTGATAGGTGTACTGAGACTTGTGTATTCACAATGAGAAAGCGTAAGTGTCTTTGGATGGACCTTAGCTGTACATCCTCGTAAGTAATATATTACAACTGAAGAAATCCCTGAGGTACTTCTGGCAGGGCCCCAGCTTCAAGTTGAGCCTGAAGCAGACAGTAAGCTTACAACGCTTGTGCCTGAGTGCACACACACACTCGCCCTTCAAAAATACATGCCAACAAAAGCTTCCTGGAAAAAATAATTTTAAAAAGTCCCTGAAAGCTACTTGGAAAGTCATACATATGTTAACTTTGGTCATTTAGCGTCATAAATTGAAGTTGGAATATCAGAAAATAGGCAGATCTGACCATCCCGCATTCCCCAGCGTTGACAGTAAGTCTGAGACAGCAGATGAGGTTGGATGCCAGTGATGGTGACAATGGTGATGAATGTGATGAATGTGATGATGAAGGTGGCAGCTAACCTTTATTGAGTTTTGCTGTGAACTAAATGCCACTCTAAATACTTTAATTCATAAAATTCTCACAACAGTTTACTGTATGTCTGAGAACACTGAGACACAGTGCTTAGATTGTCTGAGTAACACGGTAGCTAAATGCAAGATTCTGTTTTCTGTGTTGTAGTGAAATACCATCGAGCTCAGTGGAACAAGTTGCAGAATAATTTGTAGAATCATTAGGTCAATGAGGGAATTTGAAATTCTGAACTATGGTGGTAGAAAAAAAAGGCCCATTTCAAATAGACATGACTTCAGAGAGGCAAAGCTAAATTTTAAGCCATTTACTTGCCAGTTTTTATTTTTATTTTAGTATTTTTAAGTTTTATTTTAAGTTCAGGGTAAATGTACAGGTTTGTTCCATAGGTAAACTTGTGTCATGGGAGTTTGTGGTACATATTATTTCATCACCCAGATATGAGGCCTGGTACCCATTAGTTATTTTTCCTGATCCTCTTCTTCCTCCCACCAGCCACTCCCTGATAGGCCCCAGTGTGTGTTATTCCACTCTGTGTGTCCATGTGTCCGCATCATTTAGCTCCCACTTATGAGTGAGAACATGTGCTATTTGGTTTTCTGTGCCTGTGTTAGTTGCTAATGATAATAGCCTCCAGCTCTATCCATGTCCCTGCAAGGGATATAATATCGTTGTTTGATGGCTGCATAGTGTTCCATGGTGTATACGCACCCCATTTTCTCTCTCTCGTCTACCACTGATGGGCGTTAGGTTGATTCCATGTCTTCGCTGTTGTGAATCGGGTTGCAGTGAACATGAGTGCATGTGTCTTTATAATAGAATCACTTATATTCATTTGGATCTATACCAGTAATGGGATTGCTGGTAAAATGTTATATCTGTTTTTAAAGTTAGAATTTGTTTACTATGAACCACTCAAAATACTTTAATTTGCGCATGCGTGCACGCGCGCACACACACACACACACACACACACACACACACACACACCATTACTTAGATAATCTAAGCATTGTGTCTTGGTATTCTCAGATGTAAAATAAACTATTGTGAGAATTTAATGAATTAAAGTATTTAGAGTGGCATTTGGTTCATAGCAAAACTCAATAAAGTTTAGCTGTCACCTTCATCATCACATTCATCATTTTTATCACCATCATCATCACCATGATCGTTATCAACCTCATCTGCCAGTTTTTAACCCCACTGCCATAGGTGCCACTCCAAATACTTTAATTTGATTTTTAAATTCAGTGCTTGTAACAAATGGAAAAAAAAAACAGCCATGATTTTCTTCTAAAAGATTTTTAAACAAAAATTATATAAGTAATTATAAAAACAGAAGACTGTTCATAGATCTTGATCTAGGTATAAACTTAAAAAGATCCAGAAAAATTTCACTTCTCAGCTTTGTTAGTCTTATTTATTTAACAATCCCTGACTTTGTTCATTGTTTGCGAAATCTATCTCGGCTTCCTTTATTTCACACCAAACTGGTTTTGTGCAATTGCCATTTCACATGAACATCTGGATTTTTTTTTCTCTTGTGCTTGTGTACATTTGGAGAAAGATAGTAATTTTCATCCAAATTTATTCTACTTTCCTCAGGTTTATTCTCAGCCATCAGAGGAATGTTAACTGTACATGTTCATAATGATTTTTTAAATTCTAAAAAAGATCTATGTCTGCTAGGAAGAGAAATATCCTTTAATTTGTCAACGTGATCCTTCTAGAGGAGTCAGTAGTATTTTTTTTTTTTTTGGTATGATCTTCCTTCACCATTCACAGACTTCTAGAATCACAGCTTTATATGCTGGTTAATTCTACCATATAGATGCATATATAGTAAGATGGAGGCATTTCTCTCAAGTTCCTTTAACACTCTCTGTTTCTTTGATATTTTTCTTAGTCATTGCTGCACTTCTGACAAGTCTAGAGAGTTGTCTTTTTGTTTATTGTCAAATAGATGAAGAGTATAGTTAAGATATTATATTTCAACAATTTAAAAAACTATAATGCAGTCTGTAACTTTAGGTGTATCACTTTAGAAAAATCTCTTTATTCTTGTTCCTTTAGAAATACCTTGAACAATTACAAACTCTTCTGGATTGATGATTGCCCATTTTGCTACTTAAACACTAAATTTGGTCACTTAAACTGATGGAATTGGAATATGGTATCATTAGATATCTATTGCAACTCAGAAACCAATTTCTTCTAATGTGCTCCTCCAAGGGCTTCATTTATATTGTCTGATTCATCCTTACATCCCCATGACATAAAAGAAGGGCAGGCATCATGTTATCCCCATTTGCCAATTGAGGAATCTGCGAGCAGAAAACAGAGGCACTGGCCTCTAGTTACACACTGTGTCAGAGGCAGGAGTAGGCAAAGATACTACTTTTGTTCACTGCCAATCCACCCTTCATTAGTCACTAGCCTCCTTATTTCTTAAGGTGTAGGCCATTAGACGATTGATCTTGTCGGGAAAATAACATCTGTTTTAAAACTCGATGCCTTTTACAAGTTTATATGCCTTGATGTAATTTTAATAGGTGCATCATTGCCTGCTTTTCTTTATGAGAGATGATATAAATGTGAAAAAATACACTTGCAGAAATGAAATGAAAATAATAAATAAAGCCCTCTTCCATTTCCATTATTCTAAGTCATGCTGCTTGAGACTTCAATCTCAATATGATGTTAATAGAACCATTAGATATGATTCATACCATACATAAGACATTTCTATTGACAATTTCATCTTGACCAAGGGTCAATGGATCCATTACAATGCAAATCTTACTATATACTTTCCATCTAAATCAAAAGAATTTGGTCTTGTGTCCACTCTAATATGTTTCATGAAGTAGAATCTAATCTCAGACATGAAGTACACATCTGTTTCTCATACTAAATCATGCCTGTTCCTATTTGCTCTCAATTTAAAAAATAATTAATTATGTTTTACATCAATAGACTACTCTGGGGTATTTAAAGAAATGCCTAGGGTTTATGAGAATCCAAGTTTGCCCCTTTAATACATACCAACCTGTAAGGAAAATTCATTCGTGGACGTGAGTCTCTTAATTTTGGGGGGTGCATATATAGCTATTCTACATATTTGGTAAGATACACAGAATCAGGACATATTCCGAAAGATTACCTAACTCAGTCTTGTAAAGTACAGGAATGAACTGAGGTTTCAATCAGTGTTTCAGATAAGCAGAAGAATGTCTCATTAGGCACAGGATTTTTTTTAAACTTTCGCTTTTCCCCACACTATGTCTACTTTTTTTTTTCTTCATCTCTTATTCCCTCACTTTTGGGCTTCTTTCAGAATCCTCCTCTATTCAGTATTCTAGGTAGCTTATGAATTGTAATCTAACCTTGATATGGACAATCATTGAGCCCATTTCTGGCCACCTTTAAGTTTCAGGGCTGTCCTGATCTCCTGTTCTCTCTTCCCTTTCCTTGTCTGTATTATTTTTCTTCTTGAGCTGAGCTGCTGCTTCTCTCTATTTGTGCACCACAACAGAAGGTGCTTCCTGCTACAGATGAGGTTAAAGGCGCTGAGGAGGAGCTGAACAAGACCCTACGCAAAGGCCTTTTCTCCCCTAGGTTCCATGACACTGCATCCGTACTCTGGTCTCACCACACTCCTCCATCTTCCTTTCTTCTTTCTTGGAAAGTTGGTGATGAACTTTGAACCAGGAAGGGGTTCTGTATAAATCCCTGATCTACTAATCCTCGCTGTGTGATCTTGGGCAAATCCTTTAATCTTGCCTAGTCCTCAGTTTTGTCATCCATAAAATATTGATAATAATTACCAACATCAGAAGACTGTTGTGAGAATGAAATTAAGTGATTTATGTAAGGGTCATAATGCCCAGCTCAAAGTAGGTATTCAAGCATGTTGTTGCCTTACTCCCTCTTTACTCTCTCTTTTTATTTTTTCCAATTTCTCTCCAAAATATTTGATTGTGTGAAACAAAAAAGGTTGATTCTTTTCAAGCTTACCACTATCCAATTACATAGCTACAAACTGATGAGGTTTTCCAGTATTTATTCCTTTCAAAGCGATTTACTTCTTGTGGGTTATCAATAGCTAAACATATTTTTTCCTCTTTCAGTTATGAAAGACATTCTCAGACTTGCAAAGCTTTAATTTTTTGTTCAAGACATTGAAATATAAAAGTTCAGGGATTATTCAATGATGTTAACTACTGAATGTACACAGAAAAGATCTTAGTTGCAATCTAGTTTGTGTGCCTGTTCAAACATGCCCAGGACTCCCAAGTTCAAAGGTTCTCTCTACACGTAAGTGGTAGTCAAAAGTATGAGTCGTTTTATTGCTGGCAGCCTTAATTTATAAATGGAAAACATCTAAAGCTGCAAAGTACAATAGTCCAGAAACTTTTCCTTTGCAATCCAGTTCTTGGACATCACAGGGAAACTCAGCAGAAAGAAATGGTAAGTTAATTGTTGAAATGTTTCACATTCCCAGGTTCAGTTTCTTAGAGGTATTTGAGCCTGCCTCACCTGCACCTCTGTTACTGTCTATGACATGCTCCACCACCCTGGAAAAGACAAATGTCTATTTGAAAGGAGAAGGGTGTTTATTAGTGGGTAGGCCTGATTATGGGAGGCGATTCTAGTGTGGAAAAGATGGGTTGGAGTATAGGGCATCTGTGAAGAAAAATAAATAAAACAGTTTATTTTTAGTGGGACTGATCCCTCTTGCTCATGCATTAGTGCTTGGCTACAGGAGAGTAGTAATTTATTGATGCAGATGGCTATGTAAAGTGCATGCAATTTGTGAGGGGGCTTGACCCTTGACTGATGGGCCATATGTTGTAAAGCCCTGGGGGCGTCATTTGCCTCCCTCTCTTCCTCTCTCTGTCTCTGCACCTAGGGTCCTTGTTCAATCACCACATATTGAATATAGACTTACTAACTCCCCCAATAAATCTCCAACTAATGGCTCACTAAGGCCATAACTTAACCCTTTCTACACAACAGAACACATTATTTTGCATCATGATCACACTCGGTGAAATAAAAGATAAATATTATATGACCTGCCTAGAACAGAAAGCAAATTGTTGTAAAATGCCGTTCCCTGCTGGGTATTCACTGCATTTGGATGTAGTAGGGTTGCTTTGAGCTTGCTGAATTATATCGTTCTATTCTGCCGTGTTATAATTACAGCTTAGTGTTATAACATAATTCTTAAATACTGTTAATACACCACATGAGAGAAACATTTAATGTTTTTTAATTAGCTTCTTTTGTCTGAGTCTTCTTTTTTTCCTAGTAAAATATGGAACATATGCTCAATAAAAAAATGCATGTATTTTTATTCTCATGTAGAGGCAAGTTTTTAGAAAATATATTAGGGCATTTGTATGGAATGACAGAAAAAACGTACGGCGTATGTTTTAAATACTTACTGTGCTCTGAATTTTCTATAGGACCCATTCCAGCAGAAAGACTTAATGAAACTATTCATTCACAGCTGCAGCACTGGAATTTCCTTATAATGTGGGCTGTCGGAGTCCTAAATGCCACCTGAAAAAGGGTCTAGGACACCAAGACTAGAAAAAAGTCATTTCTGCCGATACATTAACTTCATTTTTTCCCATCCAACAGTAAAACGGAGTAAATGGAACTATTCAGTGATGAGCACACCAGCAGTCTCTGTAATACTCGGGAAACCCGCCAGTTGCCTGATGCTTATTCCCAGCCCTTGGATAAGGGAGCAGAACGTGTCTTCCTTGGAATCTTGAGACAACATCACTGCAAGCAAGAAGCAGACATCTATTGCTAATCTAGAGTCTCAAGTGGAATTTTCGTATCTACTCCTTTTCCCCTTTCTGGCCACAGCTCTTGGTAGGTTTAGCAACAATTCAGAGAGCCTGGTAGAATGTAGGAAGACCACAGGTTTGGCCAGGGCGTAGCCCATCTATAGAAACGGTAGCCAGAGCTTAGTATCTCCAGCTATATTGTATGTTTGTAATAATTAGCTTCCCATAAAACAATTTGTCTTCTAGATAGCTTGCTACTACAGTGTTCACAGCTTGTGTGTGATAGGTTTTTTATAATATCGCTGAGCATCTTATATAAATTAAGTAGGAATATAATGTTTGATTGCTACCAGATCTGGTTTCATATCCTGTGTTGGTATAAAAAATAGGTTTTGTAATTTTTTTTATCCTAACTAATGAATAATTTCCTTACACTATAGTGAAAATCCAGGTCTCTGAACCAATTAAAAGAAAGATGAAATTTCATGTACACATACGCTGTGTTAAAATGTTCGTTTATGAGTGACTAGTCTTATCAACATGGGTAACTGATGTAGAAAAAAATATTCAAATATACAGGAAAGAAGGCATTGTCTTCTGTCCTAAACCCAGCCGACTTAACACATGCAATGCAGGCAGAAAGGAAATCAGCATAAATAAACCATGCATTCCCAATTGAATCTCAATAATTTAAACATAAATCCTTTAGGCTTTGATACCTTTTCTCCACATGGGCTTTTCTTTTGGATTTGGCGCTCCTGGCATCATGTAGAATTCATCTGCGAGCCACAGGTAAATACAGTTTCCATAACCCTTTAATAAACAGTCCGCTTTGAGGTTATGTTCCATAATTTAAGAAATTCCAACGAAAACATGGTTGGTAAGGAGTTTTACAAGATGTGTGTGTGTATCAATATATTTGCCTATAAAAAGGAACCAACATTTTAAAGCATAAATTACCAACTTTCCTACATACACCATGCACAAGGGAGGGACATCTATAATACATGTATTTCTGAGACGGACAACAAGCAAGGATGAATTGCTAATATTCTGCTTACCATGTATTGGAAAAGTCTCCACGGTTTTCAGGAAATGTGGTGAGAAAAACTTTTCTCTGTTCTGATGTATTTTCTCTCTAATTATAATTTGGCATCTAGAATTTTTTATTTCTTTTAAAAATAAACTAAACTGCATAGCAAACTATATTGATTTTAGTTTTCAAAAGCCCTCTAATTAAAATAGCAACTTAACAGCAAATGGCCATGAAGTATTTCAAAATAAAAAATGATGATGTAAATTGAACGTGTCAACTGAAGTTGGTACAAATGAAGATGAAGAAAATAGTTACCTTCATTTATTCTATGTTTCATATCGTGCCTTTTCCCAGTTCTTCAGTTAGTTAATGTAGCTATAATGAGTTTGTACTCCTTAGAAGCAGCCAACAGACTAAGCTTTTCTTTAAGAACATTCTAAATGACTCAAATCAATACCATTTCCTAAATGAAAACTTTCTTGGCTCAGATTTAAAAGACCTATGGCTGTTGGCTTGTTCTTTATGCTAGCCCAACAAAATGCCAAGTAATCTTGCAAGTAAGACTCTGCCACATTCTGATATCAACGTTGTCAATGAGAAAACTGAATATATTCTTCTCTGGGTATATACATTCAGAAACATTGAATTATAATTTGCCTCTTAAAGTCATATAATTACCTGGTATTACATTGAGTTATTATTGAACATATTCATTAAAATGCCTCAGTATTGAACTCAATGGTTCAAACTATTTGCGTAACCCAAAACCCTTAATCATTGACATTTGAAGATGGCTGTTGTCTTTTTTAACTAATAGAACAAAATTTATTTTTAGTACAAAAATTTCAAGAAGATATATGAATAACTACTTAGGATTGAAATGTCATGTTAAATACTAAAGGAAAGTTGGAATTTGTTTTGGTTTTTAAAATGGTTTCTGGCCAGGCACAGTGGCTCACACCTGTAATCCCAGCACTTTGGGAGGCCGAGGCGGGCGGATCACAAGCTCAGGAGTTCGAGACCATCCTGGCCAACATGGTGAAACCTCGTCTCTACTAAAAATACAAAAAGTAGCCGGGCGTGGTGGCGGCGCCTGTGGTCCCAGCTACTCAGGAGGCTGAGGCAGGAGAATCACTTGAACGTGGAAGGCGGAGGTTGCAGTGAGCCACGTTCGTGCCACTGCACTTCAGCCTGGGCGAGAGAGCGAGACTCCGTTTCAATAAATGGTTTCTATGTCATTGTTGAAAGTGATAATGATTTTTATGTACATGATTATATGAGAAATAACATTTTATCAATGCACATGTAGGGTACATTTTTATATTTTTTATTTATCAGGAATTCCACATTTTTTGTGCAAACACTGTATGTTATTATTTTTATCTTCTATGTAATATATAATAAATCAACAAACATTTATCGAACACCTACTCTGTGCTAGGTGTTAGAATGATAACATTGAATAATATTATCTCCTCTGCCTTGAAGAACTTTCAGTGTAAGCTACCATAATATTTGCCTGAGGATTTTTCATGTTTTTCTAACAGTTTATAAAATTCCTATATTTGGAGGCTCTCCAGAAACAGAGGGAAAGGGACTAGTAAAATTATAGTTGAAAGGTACGGTGTATTTTGGGGGACAAACATTTGTGTCACTGTATTTGTTTTATATGATATTTTTAAGCATGGCCCCATTCCCCTGACAGAAGTGAATTTGCCAAGCATTAGCCTGGGGTATTTAGAAGTAACAGCTGAAGGATTAAGGAAACATCAGCACTGAGTGTGAGGAAGTCAAGCGTGGTTAGAACCTCCACCGTGTGCTATTCTTAGCCATTCGTTCGCTACAAAATCATATCAGTAGTGTTCAGTGACATTTGTAACTGTCCCTGTACAAAAGATAATAAAGTAGAAGAAAATAAAATCAGAAGTGAAACAGTTCAAGTACTACTAAGACGTACCCTGGCGTTTGTTGGTTTTGGGTGCCCTAAATGACATATTAACAGAGAACTGCCTTGTAGTGAAATGAGATGCCCCCACGGGCCCTAACTTTACCTTCATCCTGTTGTTTAATCATTTCAAGGATCTTTCCTTATGGTTAACCCCTTTTCATCTTCCGAACAAGTTCTTACAGCCAGAGGGTTTGAAAACGTGCTATTTTTAGCATGCTTCTGAGTGGTGGATAGTGGTTGGGAATTTCTTTGCCTGCTGCATGAATACTCTTCCCTGCAGAGTGTAGAAAGAAGCACTTAATTTGGAGCTTTTCATTTTGGTTAGTAAAACTGCAAACATAGCACAGGTGGCTATAATTTTATACCGTGTGAGTAAAATTATTATTTTTCTTTCCTTGTCAACCTTCTTGTTTGATCATCTGAAACCCACAAGATGGGGAATTACAGAAACTGATCTTTTAAATTGATGAACTAATTTAAGATACTCTTTGAAAAGGAACCCAAACTTGCTATGTAATCTGTATTAGACCGTTCTCACACTGCTATAAAGAAATACCTGAGATTGGGTAATTTATAAAGAAAAGAGGTTTAACTGTCTCATCATTCCACAAACTGTAGAGGCAGGATGGCTGGGGAGGCCTCGGGAAACTTACAGTCATGGCAGAAGGCGAAGGGGAAGCAGACATGTCTTACGTGGCAGGAGCAGGAGGAAGAGAAGGGCGGGGGGGGAGGGTGTCACACACTTTTAACCAACCAGATTTCCTGAGGACTCGCTCACCTTCACAAGAACAGTAAGGGGGAGATACGCCCCATGATCCAGTCACCTCCCACCAGGCCTCACCTCAAACACTGGGGTTACAGTTTGACATGGGATTTGAGTGGGAGCACAAATCCAAACCATATCACGGCAAAATGTAAAATTGTTAGGGATGGGGAAAGATTTATAAATGTAGGGTCCAAGTTAATGTAAAAGTGATCGCATTGTCTACCAGGGACTGTTATTGGGCCTGCACCTTTATCACAGCGGGTCATAGTTTCATTATTGTGATTATACCGTAGTTTTGTAAAAACCTTTACCAGTGATTTTAGATATAAGATGTTGCTATTTGTCAATTTTTAGGTTGTAATCTCATCTCGTATGTTAGAAAGTATCCTTATTTTGTAAAAAAATCTATCTATCTATATATATTTAGATTAATCTTCTATTAAGGATCAGATATTCATGTTCAAACATTAGATTTCCCTGATAATCCACTTTTTAGATAATTTCAGCTTTTATTTTCGGTTGAGGGGGCACACATTACAGGTTTGTTACAGGGGTTTATTGCATGACAATGAAGTTTGGGTATGAATGATCCCATTATCCAGGTGGCGAGCATAGTACCCAATATGTAGTTTGTCAGCCTGTTTCCCTTCCTTTTTCCCCGCTCTAGTAGTCCCCACTGACCACTGTTCTTATTTTTGTTTCCATGTGTACACAATATTTAGCTTCCACTTATAAGAAAATGTGGTACATACACACTATGGGATATATGCAGCTGTACCAAAAGAACAAAATGCATATATGCAGCAACAAGAATGCAGCTGGAGGCCATTAACCTAAGCAAATTGACGCAGGAACAGAAAACTAAACATCGCATGTTCTCACTTAGAAGGTATCTTTGAATGGTGTTGTCAGACAGACTCAAGCATGGATCCTTGCTGAGGTACCAGAATCTTGACTGGTTATGATTCAAAAACAACTGAAGAGTATTCATGGATCTGAGTCTTACATACAAAACAATGAAAGAAATCTGGCAATTTTATTTAGCTGGTACTGAAGTTTAGATGATGTGTTGCATGAAATTATAGCAAGTAATACAATTTCCTTTGGCTAGTTGGTCATTCTCTTTCTCTTTATGGTTTCTGTTCTTGTACAGATTTCTAACTAGTGATATAGAACAATAACTTGGATGACTTAAAAACATTATGCTAAATAAAAGGAGACAGACTCAAATGACTATATGCTTAATGGTTTGCTTTATATAAACTTTTTGAAGAGGTAAAACTGGATTGTTGGAAAGTAGATCAGTGCTTTGCAGGGGCCAGGGTTGGGGAGGGAATTGACTGCAAAGACCAGAGGGAACTTTTTGGTGTGGTGGCCGTGGTCTGCATCACCATTGTGTCATGAATGTCAAGACTCATCTAACCTTTTCTAAAATTTATTAATTTTTGTCTGAAAATTATATCCAAAAAAAGATGTTAGAATTTCACTTTGGTGTGAATATAACCTAGACAAGTTGATATTTTTTCCTGTTTTTTTTTCCCCATAAGTTAAAGCTATACTGAGTGTATTAATGAAGTTATTAATAAAATCATTTATAACCCTAATATATTCCTAGTTCTATATAAGCCGACTTTACCTGTAGTTACTATGTATTTGAAGAGAGTCCATTGAAATATAAATTATAAACCAAAACTAAACACTTTTTTCCCAAGAAACATTCATCACACAGGTGCATATAAAATACATGCATTTTACATCCGAATTTGCATATAAAGTTGTAGGAAAATTAGAAAGCATATGGTCTTTTCTTCTTTTTCATTGTCTAAAAGCACTAAAGCCAAATAACTTGGCATGATTCTTCTAGTTTTACTCCTTTTAAATAGCTTTATTGTCAGGCAGATGGGGAGTGCTACTCACTTATTAAAATTACACTTGTATATATCGTTAGAATGTTTTATATTTATTCATGAATATAAAATTTTTAGAATTGTCATTTAAAACAAAAAAAAACCTGTTGTAGAGTTGAGTAACAACTGTATTTATCACTTTGAAACCACTTTGAAATATATTGCAGCATGGATGGTTGCCTAATTAATATTTCTGAGATTCAGGTTCTTTTTAATGGTGTTTTTGATGCTCTCCATCTTAGAAAGCAAAAGATAATCATAGACTAGAGATTGAATTACATGGAGAGAATGAACTTTAAGATGTGGCATCTATTCCAAGTTGTATTAGGAAAATATATATGAGAAAACATTATCACATACTTTGTAATAAGTACTTTTCCCCCCTCTGTGAAGAGTTTAAAAATCAGTATTTACAATGGATAGTTTTCAAGTGTGATTTTGTGGGTTAATAATCTGAGCCAAAGAGATGTAACATAGTCCGTGAACACCAGATAGTTAAAAGATTCTTCTACTTTAGAGGTTTTTTTTAAGACTGATTTAAAATTAAAAGATGGAGAGCTCTTTATTCATCACTATTTGGTGCTACAAATTTGAAGAAGTATAAGATAACATTCTTTTGGGTACTTAATGAATATTTTTCAATTAAATATCTGAAT